ATCTTGATTCTCCTTCTCCCTGGTGAATTTAGACGAGGTCCAATGCTACTAGATCACAATGTCCTTTGATTTAGGTTTATCTGATGTTTCCTCATGTTTGAATTCAGGTTGTCCACCTTTGAGTGATCACAGAAGTGATGCTGAGTACTTCTCATCATGCCTTCTGTCATGGATTGAATTATGTCCCCCCCGAAATGTGTGTATCAATTTGGCTGGGCTATGATTTCCAGTATTGTGTGATTTTCCTATATGCTTCAAATCCCACTTCTATGATGTTAATGAGGGAGGATGGGTGGCAGTTGTGTTAGTGAGGCAAGACTCAATCTGCAAGATTGGATTGTGTCCTGAGGCAATCTCTTGAGATATAAAAGAGAGAAGTGAGCAGAGAGACAGGGGGACCCCATACCACCAAGAAAGCAGTGCCAGGAGCAGAGCGTGTCCTCTGGACCTGGGGTCCCTTTGCAGAGAAGTTCCTAGTCTGGGGGAAGATTGATGAGAAGGCCAACAGAGAGAGAAAGCCTTTCCCTGGAGCTGATGCCCTGAATTTGGACTTTTATCCTACTTTACTGTGAAGAAATAAATTCCTCTTTGTTAAAGCCATCCACTTGTATTTCTGTTACAGCAGCACTAGATGACTAAGACAACTTCTCAGGTGGACCATGGTTTCGATTTGTCCCATCATTGATCATGCTCACTTGGATCACTTTATTAAGGTGGTGTCTGCCAGGCTTCTCCACTGTACAATTATTCTTTTCCCTTTTGTGATTATTGCATTAGGTAGTAGTTTGAATCTATGTAAATATCCTGTTCCTCCATAAACTTGTAATTAAAATATTCATTTATTATATCTGTATGGACTCATGGTTTTCTATTTTATTCAACAGGTTACCATTTGTTACTATCATTAAAGATTTTGATGCTCAAATTGCCTCCAACTTGGTCAGTGGGAGCCTTTTCAGGCTAGCTTCTATGTCCTTTTGACATGTCTTCACCATTCCTTGAGTACTTCCTTGCTTTGTGCCACAAGATGTTCCAGGCTTATCTTGTACTTTCCCTGACTCGTCTTGGAATCAGTCATTTCTCCAAGAAGCCCTGCTGGTCCATTTGAGTGAAAAACAGTACTTAGAAACCAAGATATGGTGCTAGTTGTGCTGATTGTTGTTGAAGGGTCATTGCTCCAAAACCCTCACATTTGAAAGCGCTAAACAGTATAGGTATGTTCACACACCCATAATACAGACACACATTTACATCCATATTTCCTTTTTATCTGTCTCTATATATTGAAAACCATAAGCTCACTCTGATACTTCCAATTCAAATCTATCACCACTGGGTGTATTCTAATTTTCTTTATTTCCGTATTTCTAATTTTCTTCTCTGACAGTGAGAAATCTGCCTTCTGTAGTCCTTAATGTATTAACTTATTTGATCAATCACCCGTATGTAACCAATTTCCTGTCTCTACTGCCCTGAGTGCTGTCCTCTGACGTGGGCTCTGACTACCCTCTCTCTGGCTTCCCTTGCAGACCTGTCGCCCTAGGTGGATGCCCTTCACCACCCTGTACAAATGCACCTTCATTTGCTCAGAACTCTGACATCCTTCTTACCTCTGCAGGATCCAACTCCTGGGCCAAGTCGTCCCTCAGTGTGAACGCCATCCTACCCTCTGACAGCCTGGCCTGGGTCATCGTGGTTCCCCTCCCTCCCTGACCATGTGAACACCTGCCTTGCTCTGCGCTATCTAATAATGGCTTTAGGTCCGAATTGTTCAGGAAAAGAAAGGAAGGGAAGAGATTCAGGTCCCCTTTTATTTATCTTTCAATCAGGTCCCTTTTCATTTCTGCCTGTTGTCTTAACATCCCACCTTGTATTTGGAGTTCATGTTATCTAGGCTTATATGCCAGGTGGAGATTCTTCCCAAGATTCACTCCTATTTCTTAAACTCTATTGTTTTTTTCATGAGCATCTTCTCTGCAATTCAAATCCTATTTTCTCATTCTTTAAAGTGCCTTGGAATCTCTTCACAGGTCTCCTTAAGATATTTTTCTGTTCCGCTTATTTATCCTTGTACGAAGAGAAATTTACTTAGGTTTGATTTTTGTCTATAGAAAGGATACTTTCTCTCCCCTGCCCCACACCCGTTCTCCACTCTTTGCAAGTCTAGCTCCTTCTCTTTCTTTAGTTCTTATTTCAAATAGTACCTCTTAGAGAGGCCTCCATATTTATTCTACCTAAAGGGGGATTCTCTACCCTTTTGTTCTCTGTCTTAACCTCTTCTTTCATAGCACTTAGTATAAGTTGCAAAGATTTTAGGTCTCTACTTACTTGTTCATTATCTTTCTCTCATTGGAAGAGGAAAGCTATATGGGGAGCAGGCATTTCACAGAGCAGGAAGCGTACAGTCAATAAAGATATAAAATGATGTTCAACCTCATCATTAACAGAAAAGTGAAATGCCATTCCATGAATCCACCAGATTGGCAAAATTTAAAAAGCCCAATAAAACTGAGAGTTCGCAAGGGTGTAGAGCAATGGGAGCTCCACCTCAGTTGCTGGGAAGAGTGTTGCTGCGGGTTGATTTGTGTTCCCAAAACAGGTATGTCAAGTCTTTACCCTTGGTACCTGTGAATGTGACCTTATTTGGAAATAGCATCTTTGCAGTTACCTTATTTTTATGCAAATAATGTGAACCTTCTCCGTTTGTTTGCCAACTGCTCCCTCCCCCACCACAAGGTATTTTCTTAAGGGCTCTATGATAATTTTTTTACAGCAACATGTCAAAAAAAAAAAATAGCATAGCAGTGCTTACGAAAATATCTCGCAGGAGGAGGGAGGGGTTGGCAAAGAAACAAAGCACACGTTATTTTCGTAAAAACATGGTAGTTCAGTGAACATGAGGCCATATTGGAGTAGGGTAGGCCCTAACCCAATCCTACTGGTATACTTATAAGAAGAGGAGAAAAGACGCTTATAGAGAGATATGGACAGGGAGAGTGCCATGTGAAGACACAGAGACACAGAGAAAAGATGGCCACGTGAAGATGGAGGCCCAGACTGGAGTGATGCTGTCCCAAGCCAAGGAATGCCTGAAGTTACTAGAAAGTGGAAAAGACAAGGAAGGATCTTCCCCAGAGCCTTCAGAGAAGAGCGTGGCCCTGCTGATAGTCTGAATTTGGACTTCTAGCTTCCAGAACTATGAAAGAATAAATTTCTGTTGTTTTAAGTCACCCAGTTTGTGGTAATTTGTTACGGCATCCTTAGAAAATAATACGAGTGTAAACTGTTATAATCATTTCATAAGATAAATTTGGCATTACTTAGTGAATCTAAATATGTGAGCACTTTCAACCTTGCAATTCCACCTGTACTCCAGAGAAACTCTGGTACATGTTCACAGAAAGGAATATACAGAATGTTCATATTGTTTAAAATAAAATAAAATGTCCATTAGCAGATTAGATAAATTGCTGTTTTTTTATGCAACTGGAATACTATACAGCATTGAAAAATGAACTAAGCGCAGTCACACGCATCAGCATGAATATCAAAAACTTAATGCTGAGTCAAAAAAGCAGGTCACAGAAGAGTAATTATAGAATAATTCTATTTACATAGAAGATACAAAGGCACAATTAAGTAACATATATTTTTGGGAGGCACATATGGAGTAAAATTAGAAAGAAAAGCAAGGGAATGATTAACAAAAAAATTCTTCAGGATCATGGTAAACTCTGGGGGTTGTGGAAGAGAATGTGTTGGGGAGGCACCCAGGGACCTCAAAGGCAGTGGCATTCTTTTTCTTAGGCTCAGTGACGGATGTTCATTTTATTATTATTCTCTAAACTGAGAGGATTTAGTTCTATTCCCATTTCTATCCACGTGGTTTGGGGCAAGTCCTCAAGCCTTTCTTGGGCCTCATTTCCTCATTTGTGAAATGGAGGTAATAATTTCTGCCTCATAACCTCATAGAATTCTTAACTAGTTGCTGTTAATTCCAACTCATGGCAACCCCATGTGTGTCAGAGTAGAACTGCCCTCCATAGGGTTTTCAATGGCTTATTTTTTCAGAAGTAGATCACCAGGCCTTTCTTCTGAGGTACCTCTGGGTGGAATTGAACCTCCAATATTTTAGTTAGCAGCCAAGCATGTTATTTGTTTGCACCACTCAAGGACTCCCACAGAATTCTTAAAGGTCACAAACTCCAAGCCCCTCACTCAACAGATGAAGAAACTGAGGTATCAGGTGGGGAAGGAAACTGCGCAAGGTCACGTACCCAGCCCGAGGTAAAACCAGACATAAAATCCAGCTTTCTTTATTTCTAGTTCAAATATGTGTAATACTCTGTAAATTGTAAACATGTAGGATTATTCTACAGGGGGACAAGCCCACAGAGAAATTTCTACAAATTTTTTATGTAGTGTCCACCATAACAACCATGAGGAAATTATATCCAGGCCCGTAACCTTGGACTCTTAGAAAACAGACTATTGATACTGACAAACCCAACTTGGATCGTTCTGTTCCTCCGTCTACTTGAAATCTCCAAGCCTTCGTTGGTGCACAAAAACCCAGTGCTCCTTGTGAGGTCAGCAGAAGCACTGGGAGTCCTTTGGAGTGGGGGAACCCTAGAAGGTGCTAAGGGACAAGTTGGGCAAAGGTAACTGACAACTCAGCCAGTGATCTGATGGGAACAAGCAGGATGGGCATCCTCACCCTGTTGCCTCTGAGCTTGGACTTGGCATGGAGGATCAGCCTTGTGTGCCTCTCTTCCTTGGTCATGTAGAAGAGTAAGAAAACTTGCACTTGGGGAACCCTGTGCTGGAAGCTTTCATGTATGCTAATACATTTAATTATCATAAATCTGAGGAAATGGAGGCCCAGAGAGGTTTTATAGCTCATTCAAAGTCACATCCTAGTGAACGGAAGGGCCAGGAGTCTAGCCCAGCCTTGACTTGAGAGCCTGGGCCTGCCCACCAGGCCAGACTTCCATACTGACCGGAGAAGGCTATGGCGAAGATCCCACCTGTGGCCGCATCACGGTGGAACTTGAGCAGAACCTGGTTGGATGAGCTGTGCACTGTTTTCTTGGCCAAGCTCCGGGTGAAGACTCCGAGCTGTGGAGCTGTCTGTTGTGGTCCATCCCTGCATGTAGGAAAGAAGGTCCTGGTATGTCACAAGTCACCATGGCTGTCTACTCCACCCAGTGCTGTTGTCCACCTGGTGTAAGTGGCTGTGACTCTTCCTGCACCCAACAGTCTTTCCCCAGTGCCCTAGACGCTTCTCTCTAATATCTCCCAATGGTCTCTAACAGAGTTGATAGAGTAGGAGAGACTCACACGGATTCCTCATTCACCTGATTCTTCGCCTACCTAGCCTTCCCAAATAGGTTCCTGGTGCAAAGCTCTCACCATGGAACAGGGCTAGGACAGGGCTGGAGAAGAGCTGTAGGAAGCTCATGCGGATATCCATGCCAGCCCCATTTCCTTGTCCCCCAAGCAAACAGATATGTCTATGTTGCCTTTCTGGGCGAAGGATTTCCTACCCGGGGCCATATCTAGTCCTTCCTATCTGTTCCTAGCTACTATCTGGAGGTTAAGCTGGAAATTAACCCGGGACAGTTGGGTTAACGTTATTCAGTCCTGGGAATTTTGGGATGAAAATTCCACTATCCTCTGCTCATTCCCAAAATAGTAGCAACCTCCAGCCAAAGGAATTTTAAAATTATATTTTTGTCCAAAGATGTGGTAGTTTGGGAAAAACTGTCTAGGAAAATGCATTTATCAACTAATAATTTATATTCTCATTTTAAAATTAACTCAAGATATTCTAACTATATAACTCTGAACTGAGCTGTCCAGTTTGGTAACCACTAGCCACTGGGGGCTATTTACATTTAAATTAATTAAAATTAAATAAAATTTAAAATAAGCTCCTCAGTCACTCTAGTCACATTCAAGTGCTTGACAGGGACATGTAGCTAGTGGCTATTGTATTGGACAGCACAGACATAAACATTTCCATCACTGCAGAAAGTTCTGTTGGGCAGCACTGATGCAGAGCTTCTCATCAGCATGAGATGACCAGTTGGACTTCACAAAATTCTACCCTATATGGGTAGCTTATCCAGAGTAAATGTAGAATTTTGGTTTGGACTCGGGAAACACTGAGAATAATCTTCATAGCCGCCCCACCCTCCTTCATGTACCCGGTGGTACTTTCACTGACCCCATAGCACGATTTAGACCCCAGGTTGGGAGCCACTACCCTCCCATCCCTCTCCCTCCACGGAGTCATAAGGGCTCATCAACGATGTCTCTTTGAAATCCAGGAGGCTGACAGCCATTTTAGAACCATTCAGCTCTTGGTTTTCTGATCAAATAGATGGATAACCCAGTTTAGAGCCCAACTAATGCTCCGTTCTAACTGGCTGTTGACCTGGCACCTGGCCCTACCAGATGGTGATGAAGTCTCTGGAGGGCTCTGTCTGCAGCAGGCTGAGGTTGAGGCGGATGCCATGACCAATGGACACGGTGATCAGCCAGACACAGTCCTGGGAGCTGGAGTATGGACTGGGGAACCCCGGTGAGTACACAGTACCATTGGAAGAGGTGATGTTCCCACCACAGGGGACTGCCAGAGAGGGAACACAAACACACAGATGAGTGCTGGAGATCACCTGAGAATTCTGATGATTTCCCAGTGAAGTCCCAGTTCCCAGCACAAATCATCCAGCTCAAGGAGGTTGGGTGGGATGGGGGAGAGGAGACAGGGTTGAGGATGGCTGTGCCTGGCTCTGTTCATCAGTCCCAACACACCACACCCTGTCTGGCTCTCTGGTCTTCACTGCAGGTGCCTCTGTGGGCCTGTGTCAACCCCCAACCTCCCTCTTTCTCTTTCTAATGGAAGAGACTTGCTAGAAGGAAGACACACTGAAGCTATCCCTGCCTTTCCTAGGAATGGAGTGGCTGTTAGGGTTACAGCTGCAGTACTTTGGCTGAGAAGAGCTAAGCAATTATGAAAGTATCTCTTTCATTCTTTTTTCTTTAATTTGCTTTTCTTAGAGTGTTACTTTTGGTCTTGACTTAGAGTTGGGGATTCTTGAGGTGAGGCTCCTGTTGGGTTCAAACTATGGTTATGCCATTTATTGATCAGATGACCTTAAACACATAGTCTAGTTTCTCTGTGTCTGTTTCCTCACCTGTAAAATGGGACTAAGACTCATAAGGATTGTGGTGATGATAGATAAAAGTAAAATGTATGTAAAATGTTTAGCCCAGTACCTTGCTTGCAGAGGAGGCATTTGCTACACAGAATTAATCCTCTCTCCCTATCTTTCTGATCCCAAAAGCAACACCCAATTTTAAGCTCATTCTGATCTAGGCTTTAGGTGGGAGAGTAAAGAGGTCTTGAAGTATCCATGGACTCAGTCATTGGGGAGCAAAATAAATAGGGATTCTGGGCAAACAAATCCTGGACTAGAAGAATGAGTGTATTTGGCTGGTGTGGGCATCAAGCAGACATCTGGATGGGGGCTGATCTAACCGAGACAAAAGAATTCCAGCTGCCTCCAGAGGACAGGGTTCCTGTAAAAGCAAATGTACCCTGGAAGTAGTAGGCATGGACACGCCATCCCTTCTACAAATACTGAATATCCACTCAGTGCTGAGCATGGCCTGGGCACTGGGGAGACTGGAGGGAGCAAGGATACTCCTGTTCTGTCCCATGGCACTTTAGTCCACTGGGGATATAGCCAAGTATATGGCATCTACAATGCATGGTGGAGCTTGCATCCTAGTTGAATGCCAAAGGAACATCTGGGGAGCCCCTCATCCGGTCTTGTGAGGGAGGGAATGATTCCTGGTAGAATTCATATTTAGAACCAAACAGTGATGAAGTCTGAGGGATGACTAGGGCTAAGTAGGCAAGGTAGGAGAGAGAGAAATGTTATATGTATACGGAACAGCATGCGCTAAGAATCAGAGGCAAGAGAACATAGTACATCTAGAAAACCAAAAGTATCTCAGCTTAACTGGAGCATAAAGTCTGTGGGAGTGAAGAATATTGGAAGGTAATTAGGGGCCAGGTCCTGAGGGACATGGTGAGCTATGATAAGGGGTTGGGGATTTACTCCAGGGGAGACAGGGATGCCTTGATGGCTTATGAGCAGAGGAGTTTCAAGAGTATATTAATGGTTTTGAAGGATCACTCCCCCTACATTGTGGAGAATGGATGAGGAGTGTAAGGCTGAAGGCTGGGAGACCAGTGAGGGGGATCGTCTAAGTAGTGGCCTAGATTGAGGCAGAGGCTATGGACAGAGAGAAGTGGATGCATTTGAAAGATATTTAGGATATAGAATTAACAGGACTTGGTGTATATGGGAGGGGTCCCTGGGTGGTGCAAACAATTAACACACTCGACTGCTAACCAAAAGGTGGTAGGTTTGAGTCTACCCAGAGGCACCTGGGAAGAAAGACCTGGAGATCGACTTCTGAAAAATCAGCCATTAAAAACCTTATGGAGCACAGGTCTACTCTGACATACACAGGGTTGCCATGAGTTGGAAGAGACTGAACACAACTGTTTTTTTCCCCCCTGCTGTATACAGGAGACAAGCGAGAGGGAGGCACTGAAGATGATGTCCAAATTAAGGGCTGAGTAACCAGGTGACTGGTGGTGCCTTTCATCGAGATAGGGATTTCAGGTGTAATGGTAAAAAGATGATGAGTTCAATACTGAATATGTTGAGATTTAGATGCTTCTGGGATAAGTAATGATATTTAGCAAGAAATTGGATATACAGATGTGGAACTCAGGAAAGAGAAAGGTTGCAGATAAAGATGGCATTTGGAGACATAGAAGTAGATGTGGGAAAGAAGAGAAGCAGGTCTAGGGTCTAGGAAAAGAACTGCAGAGAACAACAACTCTTATAGGCAAAGGAAGAGATAACTGAAAACAGAGGCACAGCCAGAAAGGTGATAGGAAAAGCAAGAGAAGGTGGGGTCAAAGGAGCCAAGGAAAAGAGGGTTTCTCAAAGAAGGAGGGAGAGGGGCTTCTGGTTCAAGGTGGCATGCAGAGAAAAGGAATTCTTTTCTCTCCTGTGATGCCATAAAAGATAAACTAGGAATAGAAAGGGAATAAAGTCCACAGTGAAGATAATGAGAAGACTCCATCAACAGTTACGAGATCCTAACAAATTTCTAAAAGATGCAGCTTTCAGTCCAGTGCACATGAGGAGGGAGCTGAATCTGTTCTAAGAAATCCCAGAGAGGCCTGGGGCTCAGAAGTAAGAGTTGCAGCAAGGGTAGGAGTGAGTCATGGGAAGGAAAACAGGGATTCACTGTAAGTGTGTAGACAGAATAACTGACATCGCCGCACCCTTCCATCAGCACCCTCAGAACACAAGCAGGCAGGCACTTATCTCCTCTCTCAAGCAACAAACTGGAACAAACAAAAACAGAGTTCACCTTCAGAAGAACTGAATGTTCCGGCCCTGGCAGGATTAGAACAAAGACCCTCCATGTGCTCCTTCATACCCCAGTCTCCCTTACTGTTAGGTTATCGTTGTCATTAGTTGAGTTGGCTCTGACTCAGGGAGACCTTATGTAGAACAGAATGAAACGCTGCCTGATCCTGTGCCGTCTTCCAGAACTATATCAGACAATATCCTGTTGTGATCTGTAAAGTTTTCATTGACTAGTATTCGGAAGTAGAGCTCCAGGCCTTTCTTCCTAGTCTGACTTAGTCTGGAAGCTCCACTGAAACCTGTCCACGTTGGGTGACCCTGCTGGAATTTGAAATACCAGTGGCAGCTTCCAGCATCACAGCAACATGCAAGCCACCACAGTATGACAAACTGACAGACGGGTGGTGGTACTGTTAGGATAGAGTCATATAAATGACTCTGGTCAAAGAACTGTGAGTAAAAGTGACATGTGTCACTTCTGGTTGAGACAGAACTGCTGTGTCTCCTCTCTTCTGCAAGAGAGAGTTTGAGGGCTACAGTTAGAAATAGCTAGAAGATGGAGAAGAGTTGCCAAATTTACCTTGGACTTTATAGGAACAACAGATAAACTTTCATTGTGTTAACCACTGATATTTTGAGGATCATCTCTTGCCAGCAGTTAGCAATAATTACCCCTGGGGTTATCTGGGGTACAAATCCAATGAAGACAAGAAGTCCCCAGTTGTTACAGTATGCTTTCCACTTGCCCAGTTGAAGGCAAAGCTTGCTGGTTGACTAGCCCTGCATACGTACACAGAACTCACAGTCAGGCCTTCTACTGCATCGTTCTCAAATGTGAATGGCATCAGCAGATATTTGAGGAAAATATGCAACATAACATAGACCAAGAAAAACAAACAGAAAAAAAAAAAATGATCACAGAGGGAAAAAATAGAGATAATTTAGAGTACATAAGAGAATATAAATGAATAATCTCTCATTTTTATCCTCAGAGAACTGAGAAAATATTTCATCCATACAACAGAATGCTATGAAATGTGAACAACTAGCGACAAAAAAGAATCACTGGAAATTAAGACTATGATTACCGAAATAAAATATTTAATAAATATTTAATATTTGCAAGGTAAGTTGAGAAAAATCTTCTGGAAAGTACAACAAAAGATAAAAGACTAAAAATATGAGAGAGAAGATAAAAGATACAGTAGATTGATCCAGGAGGTCCAACATTGATTAACAGGAGTTCCAGAGAGAGAGAACAGGGAAAATGGAGAAGTAATGGTTGAATAAATAATTCAAGAAAATATTCCAGAGCTGAAGAGAGAATGCAAACATCGAAATTAAAAGGGTCTACTGGATGCTGAGGCAGACAAAGGAAAAAAATCCCATTGAAATTTCAGAACACCAAGAATATGGAGAAGATTCTAAAAGCCCCCTGAGAGAAAATACAGATCACCTAGAAAGGTACAAGAATTACACTGACATCCAGCTTCTCATTAGCAACACTAGATCCTACAGACAATGGAGCCACATCTTCAAAATTCAAAGGAGAGATGATTTTCAATGTAGAATTCAATGCCCACTGAAGCTATCGATTAAATTTGAGGGACATTAAAGACATTTTCAGACATTTAGGGACCTAACACACCTTTGTTAGGAAGGTGTTTTGAGGATGTCCTCCAGAAAACAAGAAAGCAAACCAACAAAGAGGAAGGCATAGGATCTAGGAAATAGTGGATCCAATTCAGAGCAATGGAGGAAAATCCTAGCAGAACTCATGTAGCAGGTTGAGGGTGCAATCAGTTCAGATTGGAGTAGGAGAATGGAAGAGTGCTGGAGGGAAGTCTCCTGGGAAAAAGGAGGGGTGAATTCCATACGATAAGAAATACGATTGAGATTTTTGGGAAAAGTAGAGGACATAAGAAAAACAAATTATACAAGAAAAAATTAAAAGCATTTAGATGCTTTAGGAAAAACAGAAAATATATGAAAAAGTCATGGTTCAAATATGAAGCAATTTACAATGTATGATTTCAAGCAACTGATGAAATGTAAGAAAAGTGA